TGCAAACGCTGATGTGATAATACAAAATATGATCGGCAAAATGATCGACATGTGATATAAGTATGTCCACCCTGCTTAGTAGCTCATCATCATCCGAGTCTTCTTCTTCATCCGAGACTTTATTATCTTTTGAGTCTTTACCTTTGGATGATTTCACTTTTTTAGACGAACCCGGGTTCGCATAGTTCGAATTTCGTTTTCCAAGTGCTCGAGTAAATGTAGAATTATATATATCATGAACTTCGAAGTTCGTTTCGACTATGTTTGTCACCGTTAAGCTCTGTTTTTATATATTGAAAGTAAATTAAATAAATATTTTCTGAACACCTTTACGAAGGTAGCATGCATACCTTTGTTCTCTCTTTCTTCCAAATCTCCCAATCGTTTTTGTATTCTCCCTTCTAATTATATTTAGTATAATAAAATTAATAAAGTACTTCAGCTAAACGAGAATAGTAAATATTATAACATAAATACAGCTCACAGACGTTAAATTTATACAGAACGGAGTTAAGACTATCTGAATTTCTTTTGCGATATATTGTTTTCATTAGTATTTTTGAATATTTTTGTATGGATCTTGATCTTTCAGAAGCATCTACGAAACGAAAGAAAGAAAGAGGGGTAGGAGTTTCACTTTGCAACATCCAATCTATTTGTGCTTCTTCACTTTGTTTTCGTACACCTGTGTTTCTAACCATGTTTTAAATTTCGCATGTATTATCGAAAGAAAGTAGTTTGAAAATAACGTGCTTGAGACTTTATCTATGCCCTCTCAGGTATCAGATGCGTCATACGCGTCAAATGCCTAATGCCGGCCCAGATGTCCTAAGGCATTATAAACATGCACATGAAAATTAAACCTATCAGCTACTTGCGAGTCAGTATGCATTTTGCTCTGCTTCATTTTTTCTTATCAGATCAGATTTTAAAAAACAAGGTAAGCTTTCAATATGTTTAATGAACCCTATCAACCACAACTTGGTTAAGCACGAAGGGCGACTGCGACGGACTTGTGAACTGTCGGAAGCTAAAACTAGCGAGTCATCTTTTGAATGGCCGGCCCGGAGTGAAGGTTGCGTACCGCACCAAGTTGTGAAGTGGTGGTAAAGCACAGAGGGCGACTGCGACGGACTTGTGAACTGTCGGAAGCTAAAACTAGCGAGTCATCTTTTGAATGGCCGGCTTGATGTGACACCCACCATTTTTTTTTGTGGTCCATATGAAATATCTTAATACATTAAACTAACTTTTTCATTATTTTTTTTTCTGAGCGTTTCAATGAAAAAGTTTTTACAACGAAGTTAGAATATACCAGCATAAAAGAGATTTTTGAAATTTAACATTTGACTCATTATAATGATAATATATAAGTTGGTAAGGAAGTACTGTAAGAACATTACTTACCTGATACTTTTACAGTGCTAAAGGTAACTGTACAAGCAAAATCGCATGAAATTCGATAAAGATGAAGGCACCTTTCAACTTAAGGTCAAGAGTCATAGAGGATTTTTGAGAATGCATAGCACATCACTAGCGCCAACGAATCCACTCATTGCGAATTTATTTCTTGCATCATTTATGGTATCATATTAATCTTTGGTGGTGAGGTGAAATTCTATCCCCAAATATGATATGAAATTTCCGGAAGTCATGGCAAACGACCTGTTGATTAGTAAAGATGGGAAACACCATCATCGCGGTTATCGAGGCAAAGAATATAGGATACTAATCAAAGATATCGCACAGAATGCGATCCAACTGCAAACATCTATTCAGCATAATCTTAAAAAATGAACTTGTGATACGGTCCCGAACCTTTGTATTTATCTTTTAACTCTGTATTAATAAAATACTTGGCAATTTTTTTCTTGGCAAAAGTAATCTGCGTTCCAAATTGGAACGGACACAATGACTTTTTTATTTTAGATACTTGTATAAAAGTGTTATCAAAAATGGAATCCGAGATTGACTTACTTAGGCAAGAAAATGCTAGACTTGTGGCCAAGAATTACGAGCTTGAGGCAGAGATCACGAATTTGAGGCAGATTATTGAGGAGAATGTCAGACGTGACGCTAGAGTAGAGGAACTAGAGCAAAAAAATAAAGAGCTTGAGGCTAGACTCGCGATATTGGAACAGGGTTCCTTCGTTACTCTACAGAACGATAAGGAAACGATTGTAGAGAGGTTTGAAGAGCAAACCATATCAGATGTTGATTTATCCAGCTCTGTGATAGACCAGCGAAATAAGGATGATGCCAAGACATCGGAGGAAAAGGAGATGGATGCTTTCTTGGTTGAGGTAAATAAGAAAGGCATTAGTGATAAAATTAGAGAGAGCAGGCGAGAAAAGAAGGTCAGGATAAGATGATTGCCAAAGACTCATCCTCCGTTACTTCAGACTTGACTCACTGTGAGGAGGACCTCTCCATGATTAATGCTGAACTTGTAACTCTCCCAGAACAGGTAGTCAAAGAATTGATTCCAGTCTGTAAGTCAGTTATCTCTGGTAACAAATCATCTGCTGGGACATCGCTAGTAAAATCGTTTATGGTGGACAAACAGGCTCTGGTTTCTGAGAACACAGAGACAGAGTGTCAAAAAATTCCTTATAATCAAAAAGTGGAGCAAGATTTTGAGACGGAAGCTATCCCTTACTGAAGTTGGTAAGATTAATAAGATGTTTGATATTCAGATCCTGAACTCTCTTTAGAAGCAATTCTGATGGGATCTAGTGAAGTTACGGCACAGAATATAGTTGATTTATTTTCAAATTTGAGTCATTTATATAAAAATCACAATTTTTAAATACCTATAACTTTTTATGTAAATCTTTTTTGAAAAACTGACCGGTAATTTAATAAAGTTTATCCTAAAGAATAAGTTACCAGTTTTTTTTTTTTAAATTTTATTTTTTTAAAATTTTGAAATTTTTTAAGTGTTAATTTTTATTGTTAAATATAGATTTCTAGCATCATATGAAAAAAACTTATATATGAAGTATTTGCAAAAAACATTTATTATTAATATTAAAAGAAAATAATTTTATTATTTAAGTATTATATGCTAAAGTTTTAATAAAAACAATATATAAAAATTATTTAAACAATTAAAGCAAAGTCATAATATATAAATCTGTGAAGTTTATTCTTCTTAAATGTATTAAACTGTATATAATGCAAAATTTAAAATAAATATTCTGTTCATTATGCAATAAAGAACTTTTTTTTTTTTTTTTTTTTTTTTTACGATGTGGTACTACCAGTAACTTTATTATTTTATAAAAGAAATACAAAAAGTAAAACTAAATACAAAGAAAAAAGAAAAGTACTAGCTATCCCTCGTGATTATATTACAAACCCGTTTGAATCGACCAATCATCGTCTTTTCCCTCCAACAGACCCACTAAATATATATCTAATGACTACCGTTATCATCAAGAAAAGAAAAAGAAAAGAGTCAGTGCCTATCTAAAAATCCGAAAATGAGTTACCATATTTGTTTGCTATGTGAATCCATGTTTTCCAAGCACTAGATACATGATCATCAGTTGAGCGAGCAAGTGTAGAAGTCATGTCTTTTTTAAATTTAATCTTTTTAGAGATGCTCAAAGAAATTTCTTTTGCTATCATGAGTTAGCATCGATGTTTCAAAACTTTTTCGAAAATTTCTTTGAAGAAGAATAACACAAGTTGAGTGACAGTCGAAAAACACTTTGATTTGTTGCAAGTGATGACGTGTACAAGGTTCACCAATGAAGAAGGAATGCGAAGTTTAATAATATTAATGTATCCATCATTGCTTGAAGAAGGCAAGGCAAAAATGTTATTAAAGAGATCTAAAAGTTCAGGAAGAAGAGAAGAATCTTTGAAACCTGGGAATTGGAGGAGCAGGTTGAATAGGTATGTTTTGGTGAGTAAGATGATATCGGTTAATATTGAAGAATAAGCAGAACACGTTCAGAGATGTGTAGCTGTTTCAGATACCATGTTGCAGCCGATGCAATTCTAATTCTTATATAGGTCTGGGCACAATTGTTCCATTCTACAAAGTACAGGAAGTTCATCAACAAAGTTTTTTATCATGAAGGTCTTAAGCCGAATATCTGCGAATGATGTGATCATAGATGATGAATCTAATGAAAGGACGTTCAAAATGGAGAATCAATTAATATCATTAGAGCTTGTAAGGAATCTAAGATCTCAGTTTCTATGAAGAGAAAGGAAGTCTCCAAACTGTTGAGCATTGAAAATATTTTTAAAGAATTTTCTAATTGAAGATTCAATATTGACCGCTTGGAAACATATAGTAAGGTTTCTAACTCCTAATCCGATTAAAGCAGGAGTGAGTGGAGGATGTGGGCGACCACTTTTTGCAAGAGAGTTGGCAATGTCATTCAAAGTGTTACCATCATGTGCTTTAACTTTGTGCAAATTGACGTCAAGAGCCAGAGTATCAACGATATATTGAACCAGGTTTCAGATAGTATAATTAGAAATCTTTTCAAGTGATCGATTAAAGAGACTACAATTGGTGATGATGGAATGAAAGCTATGAATCAACTCTTGACTGTCAGTATAAATGTGAATCATAGCTGATTTGGGAGATACAAGAAGAGCAGTCATTATAGCAAATAATTCAGCTCGAGTGGATGAAAGCCAATTTTCAATAGACGCTTCAAACTGGTGATAATTAGAATTGGCGTCGATACAAATCCAACCAATGCCCATTTTGCAAAGCTCAGAACTAGGACTAATTAAAGAACCATCTGTGTAAAAATTAAGAACATCAGAGGTGGATAGTACAAATTGGAGTGAAGAAAGCGTGTGAAGATGTGGTGAAGAGAGAAGAATGGAATGTAGGATGTTGACGGGTACAGATGGTAAGAGTGGAGGAGTTGGTAAGTTATAAAACAAATTAAAGTGATCCAAGAGAGTTTAATTAAGAAATATTTAAGTCTTCTTCCTTCTATATTAGGTAACTTTCGTAGTACATCAACTCGAAAAACTCTGTCTGATTGAATTCTAAAAGTGTAGCAGTTATTTGAGCCAATTGTCATAAAGGCATCGCACTCAGTGCATTTAATGAGAAAAGTACTATGATCATTATTTCTAATGGCAGTAAGGTGAAAACATATAAACCATTCAGGACTCGAAAGTTTATCAAAAATTTGTCCAAAGGAAATAGTATTTAAAATCAGATTCCAGAAGGCAATGAATTCTTTTTTATGGTTGACTGGAATTGAGGTGATAGCTAAATGTTTATAAATAGGTAAAGGACAGTCTAATCTAAATTCTGATTTAAGTAATCTATTGCTACTATTTTCTAAAACCAATGTTTTTAAGTTCACAAAAAATTTAGCATTACTCATGCTTGTTGTATGATGATTAAAATTTCTGAGAAACAAATCAGATTTATCTATAAGAGATTGACCAGTAGCATCGGTAAGTTGATCTAAATAAATAAGATTGTGTTG